GCCATGGGCAGGGTGGGCCAGCCACACAGCAAATGGTTTCAGCATCTCCACCTGATGGTGATCCCATCCAGGTAGCATACAACCAGGCAACAGTGAGTGGCTACTACCGATTCCTTACATTATCTATCCATCTTTAAACCTTTTAAATATTTGACTGGTCTCTGAAAGCCACGAAGGAAGTAACTTGATATTAGTTTTGTTTTATAAATGACAGCCCTGTGGCTGAAGGATAGTTCACCCAATCACAGGGTTCCTAGATTCGCCTCTGAAACCAGGCAGAGAGGAACTCGAATGTCAAATATAAGAATAATGATATTTTCTTTGGGAAATTTGCTACATTATCCTTTGAGTTTGCTTAGCCATAAGGAAATATCTTTCACTTGATGAATAATTCAAATCCAAGTCCCATTGCTATGGAAAGGAAGTAGCTATCTTTGCCAATTGTTTTTTATGAGGCGCTCAGCTCCACAGACATAATGTTTACTTCTCTTGAGGGAGCAACGACTCTTGACAAGAAGAAATATGATTTCAGCAAAAATCCCCGTTCTCTGTGCTTGTTAAAAGTTGCTTCAGTATTCTCTGTTGCTTCTTGCTTCAAATACATGGGAAAGATTCTTATTCTCAAGGGTAACTTGGTGGCAGATGCAACAGATGCCAACCTTGAGACGGAGACAAAGAAAAAAGCCTTGAAAAAAAAAACTATGTGACTTCTGCTTTTTCTAGAATCCGATCAAAGTTGTTTGGTCTAGTGAAAATACAAGCTGTGGGGAAAATGGCTCCCTGCAAATCTCCCAACGCTTGCTCTTCTGTTATGTGTGAGCATCTGCTTCTAGAGATCCAGCTCAACTGTAGCCATCTTGGCAGGAACTGCCATCTTTCCTGCCAGCTGACTCTGCCATACGCTCCAAACTCTATGAGACAAAGTCAAAAAGGCTGAGCCTGCTGCGCCAGCCATGATGTCAAGACTCTTTGTTTCTTATTTTACAGTGTTTTATGTATTATCGTGTATATGGTTTGTATAAGAGAGATCACACACGTGCCACGGAAGGAGCGCAGAGGCCAGAGGACATTTTTTTTGAAGTCAGGTATCTCTTTTCAGCTTTACGTGGGTTCCAGAAATTGAACTCTTGTCATCGGGCCTTTGAGGCAAGTGCTTTTACCCACTGAGTCATGTTGTTAGCCCATGGACTGTTTCTTGACTGATAATAGACACACAAATAGCCTCTGAGAAAGGACAGTCACATTCTGATAGACCGGTGTATGTCTCTGTCTCACTCTAACCTGTCCTCCTCTTTTGGAGGAGCTGCGGGCAGGCCTGATTTTTGTCCCACCCAGCTCCTGCATGGCTAGTTTAGCCCTGGAAATAACAACACACAAATTGTATTCTTTTAAACACTGCCTGGCCCATTATATCTAGCCTCTTCTTGGCTAACTCTCACATCTCGACTAACCCATTTCTAATAATCTGTGTGGCACCACGAGGCAGTAGCTTACCACGAAGGATTCTAGCCTACGTTCATCTTGGGCAGGAGCTTCATTGTGTCTGGCTCCATGGCATCTGACCTCACTTCCCTTCTTCCCAGCATTCTGTTCTGTCTACTCCACCCACCTAAGGACTGGCCTATCAAATGGGCCAAGGCAGTTTCTTTATTAACCAATGAAATCAACACAAACAGAAGACCCTCCCACATCAATAGGTCCTCATGTTTCACTGTCAATCAGAACATTTATCTCTAATAAAGTGTGCTCTGTACAATCCTGAACACATCTGTTTTCATAGATTTCATCACCTCCACCTCCAGCAGCCAGGCTCTCATCTGCTGGGATGGGCTGTTCCAAACAACTGCTATTAGCACTGGAGCCATTGGATGACCTGGTTCCCAACGCTCTTGGGTCACCTTCATTGCCTAAAGGTGTATATGACTCCATCAATTCTGAACTTTAGACTTATACCTTAACCATAGCACAGGACTTTCCATCCATACCCCCTCAGCAGGGTCCAGTCCAACCTAATCCATCCTCTCATCCTGCCCTTCAGAGTCTAACTAGAATAGAGTTGGGCATATGCAGGGCATGAGACCAGGTACCCCTGGAGAGAAATATAATACACTTACAGCAGCTATATGAAGAAAGTATTTACTTTCATCCACCTGACCTATTAGAAAAAAAATACCTTAGACCAAGTGGATTCTAAGCAATAGAAATGTATTCCTCTCATTTCTGAAGACTGGGGAAAAAACCCAGATCAAACCGTAGAGACTTGGTGTTTGAAAACCCGCTTCCACACATGGGCCCATCACTCATAATGACCTCAACAGGCTCAAGGGCAAGTGATCTCCAGTTCTTTCATTGGTACACAGATCCATTTGTGAAAGCTCCACCCTCACAACCTAACCACACCCTAAATTCTCACCTCTAATACTAACACCTTTGGGGACAGGATTTCAATGTATGAATGAGGGCGGGGTACAAGCATTCAGATTCTAGCAGTGTTAAACTTTAGGTGGGGAGATACAAAAGATGATGAAGCCAGGGGAAAGGGACCTAGTGTTCATTATATGTTCCCAGGTGTCAGTGAAAACGCTGCATCTTCCACAGTAAGCCTTTTGTGATGCTGTAGGTATTTTCATTGGGGGGGGGGTTGTATCTTGGAGGGTCACTGCTGTGGGATAATGTTCTTGTATCCTGTAAGGATGTGTCACTCATATTGGTTTAATAAAGTGCTGATTGGCCAGTAGCCAGGCAGAAAGTATAGGTGGGGTGACCAGACTAGGAGAATTCTGGGAAGAGGAAAGGCTCAGTATGCAGTCACCAGCCAGACGGAGAGGAAGCAAGATAAGAATGCCTCACTGAGTAAGGTACCAAGCCATGCAGCTAAACATAGGTAAGAATTATGGGTTAATTTAAGATGTAAGAGCTAGCTAGAAATATGTCTGAGCCACTGGCCAAACAGTGTTGTAATTAATATAGTTTCTGTGTGATTATTCAGGTCTGGGTGACTGGGAAACCAAAAGGGTCTCTGTTTACAGGTCACTTAAGAGGAAAGGATAGATTTTTAAGGAAACTCATAGATCTGTGTGGCGACTGAGTGACCACATACATGGGTAGGTAGCATGAGGCAGTGTAAGAAGGGGGCAATGAAAGATAGACTTGGGTTGGCAAGGTGGACCAATGGATAGAGGCACTGGCACACAGGCTGAAGACCTGAGACCAACCTCTGGATTCCACAAGGTGGCAGAACAGAACTGACTCCTGACACTTGACCTCTGACTTCACATCTGTGCCTGCATACTTGGATAGACAGACAGACAGACAGACAGACACACACACACACACACACACACACACACACACATTAATTTTGAAAGCCACTCTTGGGATGGAGAGATGGGTCATTTGGTAACGTGCTTGCTATGTAAGCATGGCATTTGAACCCTTGAATCCAATCCCTAGAACCCCCACAAGCGTCACAAAGGACTAGCTGCCTTGACATCCTTGTGCCCTCTAGCCTATCGGTGAATCAACTATCTTTTCGATTTTTACTGAAATGACCCAAACACACTGCAATTTCTCGGGCAGCCAACCTCTCTGTGACCCAGGGCCAATCTGTGTAACTCTGTTGAATCATGGCTGCTTGTGGCCCTGCCTCTGCTGCTCGCCAACACTGGACAGATCCTGGATTTTGCAGCATAGCCCTGGCACCAGATCATAAGTGTAGCAGACTCTCTTTTGTGCCTGATTTTGGTTTTCCTTCTGGTTATTTAAGACAAGGTCTCCCTAGGTAGCGCTGGCTGTTCTGAGAATCACTAGGTAGACCAATCTGGCCTTGAACTGCATCACCACGCCTGGCTTCTTACTGAGGGGTTGAAACCGAGAGCAGTGAGGTTGCTGTAACTGTTCAGCAGCACTGGTGTAAAGTGCTCCTTATCCATTTCTGCTCAGAGGAGTCCTCGCAGGATCTAACTCGGGCCACCAGGCAAGCATTCGCACAGCGTAAGCCATCCTGCTGGTCCAAAACTATTTTTACTGGATCCTTTGTAAACCTGAGGCACAGACAGCTGGCACTAAAGGGGAATGGCAAACGAAGGAAAGGCCTTAAAACGGCATCATCCTTAGAGTTTAGACAGAGAGGGCTGGAGAGATGGCTTGGCGGGTACGTTGTGTAATGTTCCCCCAGAGGACCTGAGCTCATTTCCAAGCACCCACATGGGGTGGCACAGCTACCTGTAACTCCAGCTCCAGGTGGTCCCACACTTCTGGCCACCTCTGGCCCCGACACACAAACACACAGACACACATGTATAATTTAAAAATAAAATAAATTCTTTATTTAAAAAAAACATTTTATGTACAAGGACCTTTTCTGCTGCCGTATGAAGATGGCAAGGAGTTTTTCAAGTTTACAAATATCTGACAACACAGAAAAGTTATCATTAAACATTCATACGCGCTTCTCATAGAACTTCAGAGACCTAGCTCCGCACCTCCATCTCTGCCCAAGGACATATCATAGACTACAGCACTTTTACAAAACGCTTTTGGGTTTTGGTGTTTTTGAAACCGTCTCCTCGCTCTGTAACCCAGGCTGAGGCAATCCTCCTTAGCTGTGGACTTAGTTATGAGATTACCATCCCAGAATTAAATCTAAGCATCTACGTTTGATTCCCTCACTCCCCCCACTCCAGGCCGAGCCAGGGATTGAACCTGGATCTTGGCTCTTACCACATTTACAACGTTTTCCCCCTTATCTGCATTCTTACCATAATTTGTCTCCGGGCGGGGGTGGGAGGGGTGGGGCTTGGCTTATGAGGCGATTTCTTTCTGGTATGTGGCACTCCAGTGGAAAGGTGGGTGCTGATTTTTATACAGGGCCACAGTGAGCCCAGAACTTTGACTTGGTGGATTTTAGTGTGGGCCTTGTAGAATTCGAAGCACAAGTATGTGTCTGGCAACACAAACCCGTTCTATAAGAACTGTCATGGAAATGCCCCTCCCCTGGCTCATACACAGACAGGGTTGCTATAGAGGTCACAGCACTTAGCGAGACTCAGGGCGCTGAACTCCTTGTCTTCCCAGGGACCGGAGAAAGAAGGCGTATTGGTGCCATTCAGCGACGTACTGAAACGATAAAGCCAGGGAGATGCGCATGCGTCAGACACAAACAAGGCAGCGCCCTCTACCAACAAGTTTTACCAAGTAGCTGAGAACAGAACTCCGAACCTGTGAGCGGGTCTGTCAGCCACAACCAGGAAATGATAGCCACTTAAATGTATTTTCCTACTTGTGCTTTAGTTAATGCTAGCACAGAACCCTGTCAGTGTCTGCCCTGTGGCCAGCTCCCGACCTCAGTCCAGTTAGAAATAGCATTTCCAAACAACTGAGACAGAATCAATCCCTTATCAATGATCTAGAGTTGAATTTAATAAAAAAAAAATAAAAGCTGATAACCTAAGGCCACTTTCCTCTTGAGAAAGAAAAACTGCTTACATTTCATTGGTATAACTTAATTAGGCAAAGATATTTTTCTTTTAAATTTCTTTGATTTTTATTTTCGTCAAATTGAAATAGAATTACATCACTTCCTTTCCTCCTCCAGCCTCTCCCAGCTACACTTCCTCAAGTCACGCCCATATTCTCCTCCACTCTCAAGTGAATATCCTCTTTTTCTTCGATTGTTATCACTACATACATATGCACATATGCATGTATAGGTATATGTGTGTGTGTGTGTGTGAAATATTTATGTAGTTAGCTAGTTTTTTCAAATCCTGTCTATGTGTGGGTACGTGCATGGGGGCAGGTGCCTGCGGGTGTGGGTACGTGCATGGGGGCAGGTGCCTGCGGGTGTGGGTACGTGCATGGGGGCAGGTGCCTGCGGGTGTGGGTACGTGCATGGGGGCAGGTGCCTGCGGGTGTGGGTACGTGCATGGGGGCAGGTGCCTGCAGAGGACTGAAGCATGAGACCCTTCTGGAGCTGGAGTTGCAGCTGACTGGAAACTACCCAATGTGTGTGCTGGAACTGGGGTCCTCAGCAAGAGCAGCCCACTAACTGCTGAACCACCTCCTCTGGCCCCAGAAACATTTCTTTCAGGTTCTAGTTGCTCATGACTCTTAGAACGTGGCTTAGAAAATCCACTGAGAACATACACGCCAGGCTAAAATCTATCCAGCTTAGAAATTCCTCTTTAATAATACACGACACTGGCAAGTTGTTTACTTTATTTCTTGACCTGTTACGCAGCTCTCATCTGCATACCCCACAGTGATCAGATCACTTGCAGACATGACCTCCTAAGCAGATTCCAGCTCCGGTTTCTCCCTGAGCGCCAGCTGACTTGTGAGCAACTTCACATGGTGTTCATACAGGAACCTCCGAATGAACGTATCCAGGCCTGGAGGAGGCTTGGCTTCCTAAAGTTCTCCCCAGTCCCTACAGACCTCTACCAGCACACAACTTTGGCTTTGACAATGTCAAATATTCTAATTTCTCACACCTTCCTTTCATGTATCCCAAACTAATTCCTTTGTCTCAATGGCAGGTCTTTTTCAAATTCTAGACTGCAGTAAATGTAGTAAATGAGATCATCTTTATACTATCTAAACTTGAGGCCATCTTGTAATTTTAAATTTGTCATCTCTTGGTCTTTCTTTTTCTTTTTGTTTTTTGTTTGTTTGTTTAGTTGGTTGGTTGGTTGGTTGGTTTTTTGAGACAGCGTTTCTCTGCATAACAACACTGGCCTTCCTGGAACTCCCTCTGATGGAGGAAGGTCATTGGTTAAATAAAAAGAAACTGCTTGGCCCTCATTGGTTAGAAGATAGGTGGGAGGAGTAAACAGAACAGAATGCTGGGAGGAAGAGGAAGTGAGCTCAGACTCCACAGCTCTCCTCTTGGGAGCAGACGCCTCAGAGAGACGCCATGCTCCCAGCTCCCAGGCGATGAAGCTCCTACCCAGGATGGACATAGGCTAGAATCTTCCTGGTAAGCGCACCTAGGGGCGCTACACAGATGATTAGAAATGGGCTAAATTAATATGTGAGAATTAGCCTAGAAGAGGCTAGATAGAAATGGGCCAAGCAGTGATTAAATGAATACAGTTTGTGTGTTGTTATTTCGGGCATAAGCTAGCCAGGCAGCCGGGGTGCTGGGGACGCAGCCCCGCCGCCCTTATTACTACATCCCTCTGTAGACCAGGCTGGCCTCAAACTCACAGAGATTCACCTGCATCTGCCTCCTGAGTACTGGGATTAAAGGTGTAATCCACTAAGCCTAATGGTCTATTTCTATCTGAAAGAAAAAAAAAAACCTTCGCGTTTTACCAAGTAGGACTTTTGCAAAATCATCACCTAGAAACTATCTAATTTTAGTCACAACAAATACAGTAACTTCTTAAGAGAGGAGCCACGCTTCTTTCCCTTCCCCTACACACCACTAATAAACAGAACCTGTCACACACAGTAGGACCACTACTAAAGATAGTAAGAGAAAAGAATACAGACGGAGGCCACACTAACTTTCATGTTGTGTCTCATATACTCTGTACAGCTGTACTCAAGACCTCTCATCTCCCCAAATCCAGAAGTTTCCTTCAAGGGAAGAGAGGAGATAGGAGGAGGGAGCAGGAGCTATGGTGTTCGCCTACCTGTGGAAAAGCTCTCTGCAGCACACGTAGGTCTCATAGGTTCTGTTGGTGAAACTTGTGCTTAGGAATGAGACACAGTCAGCTTCAGCTCCCCTGGGGACGTAGAGGATTCCTGAATGAAAGAGATAGAAATTACGTGAAATTATGTAATGAAGGAAGATTTGGCATAGGGCTCCAAAGTTCTTTCTCATTTGGTTGGGAGTTGGTAACATTGTAACTTAGGTGTCTGTGGGATGGGTGGTTGGTTAAACGACTATTCTGAGAGAGATGCTGTGATCTCTGCCAGAGACAGCGCTTAGGTACCTACCTGCCATGCAGGCACTGATAAAGGAAACACAAGCACCCGTGAAGAGGGCTCTGACCACAATCTTGCACAAGTCACTCTTCCGCTGGGGTATCATCGATGCTATAGGCAACAAAAGAAAGTAACTGGATGTCTTCCCCATACAGCAAGGAGGGGTAGCCCATGGGTCCCCATTCAGAAGAATGTAAGGAAAAAACAACACAACCCATCAGATGAACAGCGTCCTTATACCAACCACCTAAGGCTGCTAAAGCTGCCATAAGAGGTGTGTACATATGTTAGTTGTTTATCAACTTATACTTTCCCTGACCCTCACCTCAGTGGTTCTGGAATCTACACAAGATATATCTGACTTAGGCAAGGCTCTGAGCTGTTCCAAGCGGGTGGATGCCTGGCATTTGCCAGTTGAGAGCTACACTCTTAAGTCTGGACTGGAATTAGATGGGCCGTTGTGAGCCAGAGGACTAGAGAGAGCAGCATCCGCCTTATCCCTGCCTCCAGAGTCACAGCTAGCAGAATCACAGTAGCTGAAGTAACCAGTGCGGACAGGCGTTTAGAAGAAGAGGGAAGATCAACCAAAAGAAAACTGTTTCACCTAATCAGCTAGCAATGAAATAAATTTAATAATTTCACCCGAGAATGTGATTGCCAGAAGTGGTGGTTTTCACACATTCTTTACATATTCTATTTCTTCTAAGACTCATTTCTAACTTGTCTCTCCCGAGTGCTTGGGATTCTGATAGATGCTCCAGACTCTGCCCTCCAGGACCACTCCCTGTCACAACCCAAGGTCAGCAACCTCTCCTCTCCCTATACTCCAGGACTCTCGGCTTTTAGCCCAACAATGTATAATACTCACTTGTTCTGTTTATTTAGGTTTTTTTTTGTCTCCTTTCATTTCTTTTTTTTTTCATTTTTGATTCCTATATAAATACTGCTTTGTGAAAAAATAAAACTATTGAGTAGCTTAATTTCAGAAAGTACCTTTGGCAGTTGGTAAGATAGAAATATCATTCTAATAACTTCTCCCTTGTAAGGAAAATAAAAATAAACTCTTTTTGTGCCTTAACAGGAAGAAGACGGAGGGGGGGGTCAGTCCGACTGCACAAGCTCTGAGTTCCGTGTGGCCTAAGAGACCGCTCGCTTTGTGTCAGCTTCTCTATCTCGCCTCGACTTTGCAGGGAACAAAGGTTGGGATCTGTCTGGCCTACTGAGGATCTGGGAGAATTTAACAACTCACTCAGGCCTCCCAGTGTGATTCCTATAGAACTAAGATTGGCGAATCCACAGAGCGAAAATGTTGCAATAATTTCAGCTTTCACCTAGGAGGAAAAAAAAAAAAAACCAAGTAGATAAATTCAGTCTTGCTGTGACTCACAAGCATGGTAGAAGTTTCAGGGCACACCAACTCTTTCTTGTAGTGGTCTAAAGGACCATAAAAGGTGCTCAGAAAACAATGGCCCCCGAATTACAACAGCTGCCGTGACATGGGAATACCACAAGACTCCTTGCCCAGCACGGCTGCTATTAAACAGAAGGGACCCAAGCAGGTGTGAAGAAGACAATTCACAACAATTTGACTGTGCACATAGAGGGACTTCAGGACATCCAAACAGTGTGCTCCTAGGACTGTCCCAGTGTAAGGAAGCACCAGTCATCTTCTAGACCAAACTTGGGCCAGAATGCAGAGGAGGAATGACACAGAGGCTCAGTGCTGAGACTGCTGGTCTTGGAGTTAAGCTGGGACACTGGGAAATACCTGGGGACCTCCAACGTCTATGTGGAACGCTGGGATTTCCCTCAGATATGCGTGACCCAAACCTCTCTGTGACTTTTCTGGATCATCACTTACAGAAATCCATTGTTTCTCGCCGTTGATCCACTCTTCCACCCCAGAGAGACGCTTGCTCTTGTATTGAGACAGTTGTTGATAGGCCACAAATTCATTTATGAAGAACTTGACTCCCACTATCTCAGCCACCAGTGGACAGTCTGCCCACTCCACACCCATCATGAAAACCATGGGCCGAAGGACATAGGAACAGATGACCTGAGTGAGAGGGAAGTGCCCCAGGGGAAGAAGAGCAGACAAAGGTCAGAGGCCAGGAGCCTTGCTGGACACTTAGCCCTGCTCTCCCTACACCTCCCTCTTCTGCTCTGGCTTTCTCTTAGCTTTTGTGGATCAGGGGGAAAAAATGGCCAACATATATAAGGCTTACCTGGAAATTGAGTCCATGTATGTCCACCATTTCGCCCAGCCAGGAAAGAGTTGCATTGATGAAGGCCAACACAGCCAAAAAGGCGATCAGGTTGGCTGCAACGTTAGCAACAAGGCCTATGGCGTCTGTGGCTCCATTGCTCGCAGCTTCCAGGATATTCCTCTCTTCCCTGTGGTTATTGAGCATAAAGTATATGCTACCTCAGCTCCTCAGAGATGAGAAGCGCCATGGCCTCTGAGGTGTGAGAGATGATGCAGTCCCTTAGTGATTCCAAGAGTGGAGATTACTCTGAAGTGACTGAGATGTTTGAAATGTTATTGCAGGACGGCCTGATGCCAAGGGTATGGAGTGATTGTCTCAGGGGTTAAGGCCAGGTGGGAAGGTTAAATCGAAACAACACAGAAATGATTAGCTGATGTCAAGATAGCAAAGGGAGACACAGAATGGCATTCTTCCTTCAGGGAAACTGGACGTCTCTACCACCACGGGACCTCTCTAGGTAGCCCACCTTGCCATCTCCCAAATCAGACACTTTCCCTGACTCACCCACGGGGCAGCTTCACTCCCTCCTTGCTCTTGAACTTGGACTCTTCCACTTCTGGATATACCAGTTTGGACAAGGCAAGCGCACAAGGGGCAGCCATCACTGAGGCCGAAATCAAGGAGGATGCATCAATCTGTAAGGCCAGGTGGGGGATTAGCATGACCGGCGGGCTCAACTGGGGTGCACCAGGAGTGATTAAGGGGACTGTGCCTCACCCCAAAGGATATGAAGGCTCCCAGCACGGTGCCTGCTATGGTAGCAAAGCCTCCGGTCATCACTGCATGGATTTCAGAGAGAGTCATGTCTGCAAGGTAGGGACGGATGAGCAGAGGTGCTTCCGTCTGAAACCAAAGAGAAACAGTCACATGCCAAGAGCCACATACCCGATATCAAAGAGCTCATCCCAGGCACGGAGTGGACCCATTTGGTGCACACCCTTCCAGTCAGTGGACCAAAGCTTTGCCCTGAGGCTTCAGAGCAGCCCAACCATCTTCTTGCTGGCTGTGTTTTCACTGTTTCTAGAACACGTTATAAGATACTGTAGGCACTGGTATTAGTTTATTTTGTTTACCATGTCTAAATGCATGCAGTTACTGGGTGAATTATGGCGTACAGAGCACTTACTGACCACACACTAGATGTCTACAACTCATGCATTAAATGAACTGAAAATAACTTATCTAAGCAATGCCTTATGAAATAATAATATCAGGCCCCCAAGAAAGCTCATCCTGAGAAAATGAGTTCCACATCTAGAATCCACATGGTAGAAAAAGAGAACTGATTGCCATGAGTTGTTCTCTGACCTCTGCATGAGTTCCATGGAACATGAATGCTTACACACACACACACACACACACACACACACACACTGTCATTAAATAAATATAATACATTTTTAAACTAGGAAATTACCTAGCCTCAATCTAGGATGTCATTTATCCTTTACTGAGTGACGGCCAAAGGACCTAGTCACTAAGACCATTAATGCAAAGCTGATTGTAGATAATTAGAGCAAAAATTGAAGGCTATGATAGAAGAATCAGAAGTCCTCTGAAAATGCATCAAAAGCAGATAATCAGTCTAAGGCTTTGGAAAAAAAAAAAGACCTCAATGTTAACTTCTTGCCCATTTGAACAACAATTGTTCCTGATGTTGATTTGGTCAGCAGCAGGTATTTAGCCCTGTAATGGCTAATACTGGTTATCAACAATTGGTAGACTTTCAGGAGACGAGACTCTAGGAATGCCTTGAGGATTACCTTGATTGGGTCATCCTGTGAGAAACTGTTTTATTTTTATTTTTTTAAAATATTTATTTATTTATTATGTATACAATATTCTATCTGTGTGTATGACTGCAGGCCAGAAGAGGGCACCAGATCCCATTACAGATGGTTGTGAGCCACCATGTGATTGCTGGGAATTGAACTCAGGACTTTTGGAAGAGCAGGCAATGTTCTTAACCTCTGAGCCATCTCTCCAGCCCGAGAAACTGTTTTAATGGAGTTAACCGACGTGGGAAGACCCACTCTAACAGTGGGTAGTACCATTCCTAGGTTTCTGGATGGCATGAACAAGAAGGCTATCTGAGCACAAACATCAGTCTCTGCTTCCTGACTGGATGCAACATAATCAGCTGCCTCGAGTTCTGGTCACCAAGCTCTTCCCAACAAGGTCTGCCCTCTCAAACTGTCAGGCAGAAATAAGTCATTTCTCTCAATAGGCTGGGTTTTTTTTTTTCCAGGATATGTTATCACAGCAATAGGGAAGGACACCTATTCCACACAAACACCACTTTTATTTCATGTTGTGAGATATTTGTACACTGTGTGAAGAATTATTTGCTGAGATTCATTTAATAAAGAGCTGAACAGTCAATAGGCAGGAGGTATAAGGCGGAACTTCCAGGCAGAGAGAGGGGAAGAAGGAAGAATCTAGGTGCGAGAGAGACACAAGGAGACACAGAAGAAGCAGGGTGTGTGGTACATGACAAAATATATATTAATAAAAATGGGTTAATTTAAGTGAGAAGAGCCAGGTGGTGGTGCACACCTTTAATCCCAGCATTCTAGTGACAGAGGAAAGTAGGCGAGTTCAAGGCCACCGTAATCTACAAGAGCTAGTCCCAGGACAGCTAAGGCTGTTACACAGAGAAACCCTATCTCAAAAAAACAAAAACAGATAAACAAACAAAACAAAACAAACAAAAAAGAGCTAGTTAAAAGCAAGCCTAAGCTAAGGCCGCGCTTTCATAATTAATAATAAGTCTCTGTGTCGTTATTTGGGGCTGATAGTGCAGAGAAAGACATTAAAATTCCACACAGATGGATGCACTAAGAAAGTCCCATGGAAAAGAGCCCTAATTGTCCTGATCAAGACAAGCCATTACCTCCTCAGACACCTCTGAAACAGCGATCACAGGGAGTTACACCAAGAAACCAGAAAGCAGATCAAATATCCTTCATTGCTCCCGAAGTCCCAGGATAAGTTATGGATGAAGATTTTCACTTATATTCCTGTGTAAGAAGCTGGACCAGTGACTCAGCGCCTTCTAGATAGTGTGTTCAGACTATGTATTAGACATCAGGGCTGAAAGTACTGAACCACGTTCTCCTTGACCCTCTGAGGTTTCTTCCATAGGGGACCAAATCTTTACAATCTTCATTTCTTGGACTTCGTGTGTCTTTCAAGCTGTGTGGTGACATGTGCTTATACTCCTAGCACCCGGGAGGCAGAGGCAGGGGGGATCAAGAATTTAAGGCCATCCTCAACTACACAGTGACTATGAGGTCAGCCTGGGCTACATTGAGATTCTGTTTCAGAAAAAAAGAAAGGAAGGAGGCAGGGAGTGGAGAAGGGAAAAGCCTCTTTTTTCTGAATTTGTTTTCTGCCAAGTTCTCAGTTCTCGAGAGGAAAAAAAAACAGAAGGCCCCAAGATACTCACCATTCCCACAAAGATGTTTCCTGCCACAGCCAGGGTCTCGGCAGCAGTGGTGCCCATGGTGACTTGCAGAAACCAGGCAATCTAGAAGAATCCAGACTCCTAAATCATCCATCTACAGTAAGAGGAATCTTGGCTAATGTCCAGCAGAGCCCCGCCCCCTACTCCATTCCCTCATAAGGAATCTGGGAGCTAGAAAAATAGTGTGGCGAAATGACAGAACAAGTTACAAACATATTAACCAGAACTCAGGCCCTGGGACTTCTAGGTCATGCACATCACACCCAGGAGGTAAGTGCGGTCCAGACCAGTTTTTCAACATGTTCTGCCCTAGGCTATCCCAAGCTGGGTAATCATTTGACATCAGGATGCTTAAGGGGAGGGGGGGGTGCCTTTTCACATCAGTTCTGACTCCATGCCCCATGTAGGAGTACTTCTCCCAAAGAAAGTCAGCATCACTCATTCCCCTGACTGGTCCAAGCTGACGGTCCTTTCGTGGACTTACCTTCTGAACCACCCATTGCACGAGGCCCAGGTAGTAAAGAATAGACATCACGCATCCGAAGAAAATAATGATTGGCAAAGACTGCAAAGAGAATGGTGGTAGCGGATCAGAGATTATACAACATGTGGTATGCGTGTCACAAGCAAGCTCTTCTATGCCTCTAAATTAAGCTCTGGGCATTCCCAGGGCATCTGATACAAGGTGGCTTAGAAATAAACTCAAACTGTACTGCAAACCTGTAAGCCTGTCTATCAGTACGAAACCATAGCATATCCCATTTCCTGAACTTCTCCCTAACCTACCTTTCGATCAACATGATCCCTGGTACGGCTCATGGGAAAAGAGTGGACTCCCACTCTTTACCCCCATCCTTTAACTGGCGTTTGCATTCCTGCACACAAAATCGGTGGCATTACCTGAAAAGCAAAAACGTTTTGGACCAGGGCATCACCGAAAACAAAACTGGAGCCTTCCACAGTATAAGCCAGGAAAATCTGAAGTGGGGAAAATAAGAGAGTTAGGACCGGCAGGGCACAGAGAACGCTGTGATCTGCCTCAGGTGTGACCCCCCGTGGGCAGGGCATGTCCCAAGAGTTGGTCATGAAATGACAGACTCAGCAAGTCTTCACTTGTACCCTCACCTGAACCCCATCACACTCTTTCTTTACCCAACCAGATTCCCCAACACCGCCATGAAGACAAAGCCCAACAGCCTCATGCTCCCCTCAAATCTACATTCTCTGGGTTCCAGAGGCATCAAACTTTGACATTCAATCCCCTGTACCTGGATCTGATCTCCCAGCCACTGAAATGCATTAAATCCGGGTTCAGTTCTGATGACCAAAATCCCAAAGATGAACTGAAGGCCCAGGCCCCAAAACACAGTCCTCCAGCATACCTGGGATGAGGAAGAAAATAGCCCAGCATGAGTTCCAAACCTTTACTTGTCCATTGCCTGGTTCAACTGTGTCCTGTAAATGGAGCTAGGTGAGGGTGCTAACAGTCAGTCTGGGGTAACATGGCTGTGCTGGCTAGCTTTATGTCAACCTGGCACAAACTAAAGTCATCCAAGGGGAAGGAACCTCAACTGTGAAACTGCCTCCACAAGACTGGGCTGTAGGAAGTCTGTAGGGCATTTTCTTAAGCAACAATTGATGCGGAAGAGCACAGCCCGTTGTGGGTAGTGCCATTACTGGGCAGGTGATTCTAGGTTCTGTAAGAAAGCAAACTGAGCAAGCCTTGGGAAGCAAGCCAGTAAGCAGCACCCCTCCATGGCCTCTGCATCAGCTCCTGCATCCAGGTTCCTGCCTTGTGTGAGCTCCTGTCCTGACTTCTTTCAATGATGAACAATGATGTGGAAGAGTAAGTCAAATAAACCCTTTCTTCCCCAAGCTGCTTTTGGTCATGGTGTTTCATCACAGAAATAGTACCCCAAGACAATGGCATAGGGAACAGGGAGATCGGTAAAAAAAAAATAGGGTGACATTGTGCAAAGAGACAGTGTGCCCATACAGGTTTTTAAAATAAATTACATGATATTTATGACACATGTATATAATAACTTCCACAAATGTCATTATTGCACAGTGCCACCTGATTCCCTGTCATATTTTCTTTTCTTTCTTTCCTTCTTTATATTTTCTTTTATTTTTCTCTAATGTTGGCTAGATTCATATATACCACAATAACAAACGACAAGCCTAGAGTCTCTAAAAAGTGTCCCAACTTCTCTTAGGAATGAGACTGTCAGAGGAAAATTCCAGGAGTTGTTACTTGGTTCTAGGTCTTCATCATGACTACCTGACACATACCTTTGTCATTTCTACCAGCCCTTGTTGTTGCTATGCCCACCCAATGACCCCCCAACTCACCGCGCTGTGGTGTTTGGAGCAGACAAAGAGGACGAGGATGAACATACAGATTCCTGCAAAGGAGATCAGCTGCTCGGGCCTTTGAGCCGTGTCGAGAGCCAGCCACAGGATAAGGCCGACCACAGAGGCTCCTATGAACACCCTGAAGGTGGAACGCCAGAGCTATGTCACCAACTCAGTGAACGAGCAAACAAGAACCCTCTGATGGACAGGAAGCTTGGTCTGAGGGTCAGTGAGATAACTCAACAGCTTACTCTTGATTAGACAGAGACAGACCTTGAGAACCGTCTGGTAGTTACCTAGCTTCTGCTCGCTCCTAATTTATGGAAGTAAGTATCTAATCTAACTAGACAGATCACATGACTTCTCTTTTCTCATATAGCCATATCAATAAAATTCAATATAAAGGTTCATCCCTGAAGATGCTTCCAACAACTAATCAAAACACTGAAAACAGAAAGAGAATACACTGGTCCCATATGATAGCTATTCAATTTTTAACCACTCCAAGGGCAAGAATTAAATAAGCCATGTATGGATGTACGATCTTTACATGCACCAAACATATTTCAGTAATAGACTGAAGGCTTGGGCTGTAGCTTAGTGGAACACTTGCCTAGAATGTGCAAGACTCTGGATCCGATCCCCAGCCGACCACAATAAATAAGAGTCCAGTCATGGTAGTGCAAGCCTTAGGGAGTAGAGGCAGGAGGCTTAAGGTTTTAAGATTGGGATTGGAGAATTGGCTCAGCAGCCAAGAATAATTGCTCTTGCAGAGGACTCAGGTTTGATTCCCACACCCACATGGTGGCTCACCAACCATTTGAAACCCCAGTCCCAAGGGATCATCTGATGCCCTCCTCTGAACACGGTGGTCGCCAGGCACACATGTGATACATATGTACGCATTCAGGCAAAACACTCATACACATAAAGTAAAACTGCAAGAGATTAAAGTCCTCCTCAGCCGCACAGTTAGCGTGGAGCCAACCTGGCTTACATTACATCCCCTTCCTCAAAGACAAACACACACAGAAACAAACAAAGCAACAGACAAATTTCCCCAAACTTAAGGGAAGAGAATTAGAAAGGAGGTCACAGATGAAAATAAACAAAAAGAAGCACATGACCCACTGAGACACCTCCAGCACAGTGCAGCAAAGAACTACAGAACTAGACAGAAATTTGCGGCTCTTTTCTACACGCCTCCCTCAAAGTGAATAAAGTTGGCTTCCAAAAGCTTATTTAATGAATAAACCCATGTTGGCTTCTCCTCCCACACGCTCTCAAATAAATCAGTGATACAAAACTTCAATGGTTATCTGTTCTTTTTCCAAATTATTACCGTTGAACACCATCTTCTGTGCATTCATTGGAGAGAGGGAAAAGAGAAACTTTCTGGACAGTCTGGCCTATGGTTAACACACATGGGCATGGCATAGACAGATTGGCTATAGCTACTTCAGAACCCAGTTCAGTTATGCTGATGATCAAGTTTGCGCCTAGATGCCAAGACAATGGTTCTCAACCTGGGAGTTATCACCCCTTTGGGATCATATATCAGATATTTACATCACAACTCTAAACAGTAGCAAGACTACAGTTATGAAGTAGCAAGAAAAATAATTTCACAGTTGGGGGTCACCACAGCATGAGGAGCTGTATTAAAGGGTCACAGTGTTAGGAAGGTTGAGAACCACTGAGCTAGGAGGTTGCAAACTACAAAAGCAGGTAGGGGGGCTTGAGAGATGGCTTGAAAGATGGCTTAGTGGTTAAGAGTATTGCCTGATCTTCCAAAGGTTTTGAGTTCAATTCCCAGCAACCACATGGTGGCTCACAACCATCTGTAATGAGGTCTGGTGCCTTCTTCTGGCCTGTAGACATACACATAGGCAGAATAGTGTATACATAATAAATAAATATTTCTTTTTAAAAAAGCAGGTAGGGGGCTCTGGAGGACTAGAAGGGAGGAGGATGGAGCATAGGCAAGAGAGAAGCAACTTGGATGGTAGCTTAGCTAAGTGCTAAGACCCCTGCTCTGACCCCTCCATTAAAGACAAGTCACAGGCCCCTGGGATTCCAGACTGAAACTCCTCCCTGATGTGGATGGAGTCCCATCTGCGCCAACAATACTGGCCCAAGGCTGTAAGAAACTGGGCTTTGCGGCTCTAAGGCCCGTGGCTCTGTGGTCTCTATGTTTGTCTTCGTATAGATAAGAGCCTGGAGCCCTCTCAGGAACTGTCAAAATGTTAAAATGTTCAATGAGGTGGCGATGATGCTCAGTTGGTAGAAGACTTGCCTAGGATGCACAAGGCCCTGGGTTCAATCCCCAGCCCTCCATAAACTGAGTGTGTTAGTGCATGCCTGTAATCCTAGAGTTCAAGAGGTAGAGGCAGGAGGATCGGAAGTTCAAAGTCATCCTTGGTTACATAGAGAGTTCTGAGACCAGGTTGGACTAGAGACTTTGTCCCACATAAAGAAAAAAAAGAGAGAAAGAAAGGAAGAGAGGGGAAAGGAGGCAACGAGAGGGCTCCCATCTCACCGATGAGTTCATTCATCGATACATTCACAATTAAAAGGACTTCTCGAAGGGGGTGGAAGCTGTAGGAGGTGGGGCCCAATTGAAGGAAATTGGTCACTGGGGACATGTCCTCATAGGTTACACCTTGTCCCAGGTGCCTTGCCTTCCTGATCTCTTGCCTCCTGGCCTCCACGGTGTGAGCAGCTTTGGCTTCACCAGTTCATTTCCCACCGTGACATTCTGCCCCGTCACCAGCCAACAGGGATGGGGCTAGGAGAGCATAGGCTAAGCCTCTGAAACTGGGAGCCGGAAGCGTCTCTCCTGCACATTGTTCCTAGGTGTTCCGTGAACAGCAACGAAAGGTGATTGACACACTTACCACTTCGCCCAAAGCCTCAGGCGGCTGTTTTTCAAGGGCTTCAGACAGCTCATTAATTTTTTACCGAAGCTTTTCTTCAGAAAGTGGCAAGCCAGGATGAAGATGACAAGACAGGTGAGGACGAATAATGCCAGAGCCCTCTGGAAGTTCAGGATGCAAGCCGCCAGGAAGTAGGCGGCATACGCTACAGAGAGAAAGTGAAGAGAGAGAACCAAGCAAAGCTGAGCTTCCACGGAGCCCCACACCGAGCCTCTCTGCTCCCGGCGAAGACTCGCTGCCTTCTATTGTGGCTGCTGTCCTCACTCTCTCCCTTAGATTTGGCCAACAGCCACTGTTCGACTCTTTGGAAACCAGACATCTCTTGGGTTTTTATCCCCCAGCTATGTTGAAATGTCAAATGATGAACCTTTTCTCTCGAGCAAAGCCATGTAAAGGAGGCTGCCTCTAGGAGGAAGAGCTACATGGCGCTTTTCTAGGGGCTCCCAGATTCACCCCCAAGGATAATTTTTGTTCTCATTATCCCACCTGCTTCTAATCAAAGCCCTACATGTTACTGACAACATACTATAAACAAGGTTTTCTGACTTTCAAAAATAATGTATAGCACTAATTTTAATTATAAGCCAGTAAATAAGTTATGTATAACAGGCATCTTTCATAAAGATTACAGACTTGTGCCCTGATTCAAACCTAAGCACTAAAAAAAGAGAATATATATCTCTATATAAATATATATATATACATACATACATATATCATATGTAATCTTGACACAAGTTAATGGTTCTAGAAATGTTTGTGGTTCTCCCTTCCATGAAGTCTCATGATCTCACCTAAACACAAGAGACCGAGCAGGATCTTCTTGAATAACGCAGCATGTCTTTTAAAGAAATGTCTCGCCTTGGTGAAAGGCTGCAGCTTCCTCCTGATGAGAAACCAAGTTAAAACTTGAGAATTACTTCCTCCTGTTTGTGAGGTTCTCAGACCTTGGATAGCCCAAGGCAGAGTTAAGAGCTCGGCTGGCGGGTGTTCAATAGTGTTCCAACCGGGCCCCAAAGACCACCTCAGAACTATGTCTGTACATAGGTCAGAATGGCCCTGCTCAGCCTAGAGTAGCTACTACATCTTCGGTAATTTTCTACCACAGAAGTGAACACTAATCATGTGTTTTTCCTAGGGGCAGGTGTTGCTCAGCTTTCATAGTCAGCCTGTCCTACTTAGAAGCCATTCCACCATAGCACCCCAAACCATACAAAGCCTTTGTAGTTGTGTGTACATTGGCAGATAGGAGAGAAAACAAACCAGCTTCAAGAGTCTCTACATCGGCAGGTCTGAGAGAAGATGCCCAGCAAGAACTATTCAAGATTGCTTTGTATAGTTTTCCATGTGTGTGGGCTCAAAGAACTCTGCAAATCCTAACAGGGTTCCTCTAAGACCCCCCGAGGTTGTTCTTACAACCTGAAAGACGGGGAAGCTAAGTAAATTTCCCAAGGTCACAGAGGTCGTAAGGAGTAGCTCTCGAATCTCAGTAGCCTGGCTTCTGAATCTAAAGACTGCACCTTCCCTGACCCCAGGGTCACCTGCCTTTGCCATTCCTAAGGGTCCTTAGCACTTGCAGCCATGTGAGCAAAAAGATTCCACTTTCAGCAAAGAAAAGGAGCCCAGCTCGAAGTGTCCTGTGTATCTATGGTGGTAAGGTGTGGTGCTCAGGCAGGGATGGAACCAGCCACTACCTAAAAGGTCTGGGGTCTTGGTGCACACAATTCTGGGTTCCTTCGCTGTTGTTGCCTCTCCCATCTAACATGAGATTGAAACTATCGTGCTCATTGTCCCTATATCCTTCCTTCTTCATTTGTGCCTCTATCCTCTTACCTTCTGCAGGGAGTCCAACCCCGGCTTAACTGAGCAGGGTGTACATTCTCAGATACATCTCAGGTACCGGGAAGTCAAAAAGGGAGGCAAACTATCCTCATCAACCCTGACTTGTCTAAGCCTATTTCCTCGGGAGGATGTTGGGGTCTCAAGACCTCTGCCACTATCCATTAGTGGAGAAAGCGGTGGGCAGGAAGTTTGTTTGCAATGTCAGTACCCGAAGGCGCCGATACCTTAGGAACATCATTCACAAGGCACATCAAGCAATGCCCTTAATTTTAACCCTAGATTTCCATGAGCACCACGTCTTTAGTTTGCTCCTCCAGGTCCTCACACCCTGCTGGGGGCCTGGAAGTTCAGTCTGTGAGGACTACATCACTGGACAACAAACCCTTTGGCTTATCTAGTGGGGTTCTGCCCATGGGACCTCATAGGCTATCTAGGTACAGAACGGCTGAGGTCCACACATAAGCAGGGAGGGATTTTGATCTGACTATCCTACCAGGTTCTCTTGCACCATATCCCTCTGGTCTAGGAACAGACTGTGTTCACTGTTTCAAACCTTAGGTCTTGTACTCTCCTTCCCCATGGTTCTGCTCCACTTCATACCATTTTCAAATGTCCGTGTTCTTTTTGTTTATTCGTTCTTATGTGTATATTTGTGGAGGTGGGGGTTGTGCACGCAGAGGCCAGAAGAGCTGGAGTCACAGAGAGTTGTGAGCCATCGGATGTGGGTGCTAGGAACTGAGCTTAGGTTCTCCGAAAGAGCAGCACATGCTCTTACCCTCTACGTCATCTCTCCAGCCACTCTTTTGGTTTTGTTTTCCTTAATTTTCTCCTATCAGGATTGGGTTTTGTTATGGTATTTTCAGATATATGTGTCATTATGCTTTATTTGCACATAACAGCCTTTTGATGAGTAAACTCTCTCTGGTTATTCTAGTTTAAATATGCCACCTGGTTTCCTAGTACACAGGGTGAAGATAGCTCAAGACCATGCCCAATTAAATAGCAGTTAAGCAAAGGCACTGTGAAATAGGATGGTCCATGTACTGGTCTAAGAGCAAACAGAAATCACAGGCTTAGGGCTTCTGCCCTCACCTCTTCACCATTTCTTGGGGGCCATTTCAGTGCCTGCTCCAGAAATTGCTTAAAAACCCTTGTGAAGCCCATTAACAATGGAATCCTAGAACACCAGGTTAGGACTGAGCCTCTGGTACTAAAAAGAAAACAAAGGAGCCGGTAGGTGGTGGCGCACGCATTTAATTCCAGTACTCAGCAAGCAGAGGCAGGCGGATCTCTGTGGGTTTGAACCTAGCCTGGTTTACAGAGTGAGTTCCAGGACAGCCAGGGCAACACGGACAAACCCTGACTCAGAAAAGAAACAAACAGATGAACAAACCAAACAGTGAGGATGGACTATGAAGGAGAAATGCTCCAGAGCAAACAAGAAAAGGTTTCTTTCAGCCTTTTAAACTCATCGAGCAGTTCACAGAAGCATGTGGGCAAGTGTCTGTGCACTCTGAAGCTCGCCTGGCCCAGCATCTCAGTAACAGCACCAAGCTCTTTACACAATGGTCCAGTTTGAGTCTTAATATCAGTGCTATGACTAGAAACTGAACTGAGATGTTTAACCACGGGTGAGTGGACACAGATGCTCTGCCTCTGCCTCCAAGTGTCTGTTACGGGCGACTTTCCGGGCATTGACTAAAGACAACCTCCTCACATGCTTACTGCCCACATCCCTGAGTGATACGTGGAAAAGAAACAGGTGAGCACGATCAGAAGCAGTAGCTAAACGTGGCTTTAGTGATCACCAGATCCAGCAGCAAAGACACACATGAATTTTCTTAGTTACCTAACTTGCGAGATGTAGAAACTCTCCCAGCTGAGAGAGATGGAGCCTCGGTAACTCCTAGAACCTGAAACTCTTTGTTTAGCCTCTAGTGTGGGAAGCTTGAGTGAGCCTTCAGAGAATCCAGCTCCAGTGACAGAAGACAGTGTGGCCCTGCCTGAGTCTTTGCTAGTCCGGTGTGAAGGAAATGGAGGAGTTAACTCAGCATCAGGTGATGGTGTGAACAAAGATGAGGCTCGCCTAGCACAGGGGACCAGAGTCTTTCAAAGGTCAAAGTCCTATTTTACACCCAATTAAATATCAGTTGGATAAAGCTACTACAAAGCAAGAGGGGGCATACTCTAAGAAATCAGTCCCAGGCAGAAGACTTTGTCCCTGTCTTCCTAACCACAAAGCCATCATGGGAAGAACCACTTTCCCACTTTTCCACAGTCCAAGTTCTGCACACAACTGGTTCTGAGCTCATGAGCTGCATGCTGTAGCCGCACAGGAAACTGAGTCTCCAAAACAAACAGACCTTAATTAGCCATGTGGGAAGCCAAGTAGGGACTGGAAAGTCTGGGGAAAACCTGTCAGGAAAAGGCAGCATGAGGCCAGCCTGAGCGACAGAATAAGAAAGTCCTGATACAGACAGACAGACTGACTGACTGGTAAGAAGAATGTGTACAGTGGGTTTTCCAACCTATCCTCAACTTCTTCCTCCAAGAACTCTCCTCTGTCCAAGTTGGAGGTAGCATTTGTTCTGATAGGCAGTGGAGTCTTCCCAGGGAAGCTGTTCTAGCTCATGACTATGCCCCATGTCAACTTCAGACGGGGCCCTTGGGTGTATTTCTTTTGCAAGCAAGATTATAGACGCTATGTAGATAATTAAGGAACAAGAGGCTGAGTTGCATTTACAACTGCTCTCTTCCCTCAGCCTCCTGTGGGCTGGGACTCTATGCAGGCTGTTAAATGCATAAAGTGGAATCTCTTGCGGGTACAATGGTGCATGTCTGCCAACCCATCGGAGGCTGAGGCAAGAGGGTGAGTCCTGGTCTTCCTGAGTGTGAGAATAATCTGGGCAATATAGTAAGATCCTCTTTCTGAAAATAATTATACTTTTCTCTTTGAGCACAGTTTAGACATGGATGTTATAAATATATTTTCTTACCTACCAAGTGAGATGGGCAGTTGGAGAACTTTTTGGTGAAGGACAAAGTAGTAAACATTTTGGTTTGTAGACTTTATATTTATGTTTTAATAAAGTGTGACTGTAGACTGAGACCCCGAGCTCCTGTCTCCTTCTGCCTTATATTCCTCTCTAGTGCTGGGATTAAAGGTGTGCACCACCACCTGGCCTCTGTGACTGACTAGTGTGGCTGTTGGAATTAAAGGTATGTGTTACCACTGCCTGGCCTGTATGGCTGACTAGTGTGGTTAACTTTGCGCTCTGATCTTCAGGCAAGCTTTACTTATTAAAACATAAATAAAATATCACTACAGTTTTCTTAGAACATGTCCATGCCCATCTGTTTATTGTTACCTGTGGCTTCTTTCTCACTAAAGTGGGAGAGTTAAGTAAATACAACAGAGACTATGAAGTCTACAAACTAAAGTGGATCTTACTATATTGCCTAGACTGTTCTCACACTCAGGAGGCTGAGGAAAGAGAGCACTAGCTGCTCTTCCAGAGGACACAGATTTGGATCCTACTATCCACAGGTGCAGGGAATTTAGTGCCCTCCTCTGGCTGCCTTGGGCATTGCATATATGTGATGGGCATACATACTGGCAGACAAAACACTTATAAACGTAAAATAAAAAATGAATTGTTTAGATGTAGAAAAGCAGCTGGGTGTGGGGGCATACACCTTTAAGTCCAGGACTCTGGGGGCAGAGGCAGGAGGATCTCTGAGTTTGAGGCCAGCCTGGTCTACATAGTGAGTTCCAGGACAGCCAGGGCTGTTACACAGAAAACCCTATCTCAAAACACCAAAAAAGTAGAAAAACAGAATACATTAAAATATAAAATATGTGTAAATTGATATGGATATTTTATATAAAAATTTGTAGAACATAGCTGCCTTTTGAGCAATTTTACCCAAACTTCCCTTTGACTTTAGCTCTGACAGCAGGTCCATGTTCAGAGTCAAACATCTTCGTCACCCCTCCCTCCTCAGTGCCCGAGCGCACAGCACCGCAGACTGTGGTTTCACACATGGGGCTTTTCCTTACCACCCACATCTCCATCTTCTTCAGCCTCCACAGAAAGGGCCTTTTGTCTCTGCTCCTGTAACTTTCTTTCTCCTGCCCCTAAATCTGAGCATTCCAGAAAAGTTTTTCGGTCATGGTAGAGATGGGCTTTTTGTTTTGTTTTGGACAAGGTCCCTCTATGCAGCCTTAGCAGGTCTAGAACTTTGGTCACAAACTCACAGAAATCAGTCTACCTCTGCCTCCCAAGTACTAGGATTAAAAGCATGCACCACAAGTCCTGGCCTCAGAGAGATTTATTTTGCTTTGTTTTGTTTTAATTGATATGAGTAGGTTTGTTCCTAAGTCTCAATGCTCTAATTTAGACAAAAGAGTTAAAATTGGTACTTTCCTGTTATGAAAATTAAACTAATTTCACAAAATTACACATAATAATACTCAATAAATGTTAGCCACTGTTACTGTTATCATTGCTGTTGTCGCTATTTTTTTTTAAAGTCACCTAGGCTGACACTGATGGGCTCGTCACTGTCGTGAACTGACGCTTCAGTTAGTTCTACAGAATACAAACACATACAGGTGGGACCGTGCAGTGGTCCTGGTCTTGTCTGTGAGTTAGGCAGTCTGAGAATGAATAGCTCTCATCTGTTCCGCTCACTTCTCCTCCCCACCCCCCCAGGTCCTGGTGGCTAACTACACTGGACTCTGGAACATCCTTACCCCGGGCCATCCTTCCGGCTGTGTTCCTCTGTCTCTTCAGGCTTTTTGCTTTCCTCTGGATTCCCTCTTTCCTATAAACACAGGTAAAGGTGAGGTCAGCTGTGCAGCTCCGTCGGAGAGGCAACAGACCAAGAAAGCCGCCAAAGCCACACCGCAGCCCACAATGTGAATTACCATGAGTTCCAGCCCTGGGTTCTCGATGCCGTTCTCTGCTGTGGCCTGGGAAACAGATCCTCGTCCCCCTGCTTTCTCCATCTCCTGTTAGCCTCCGCTGGAAAACAAACTCAGGGCTAATTTCTGGCAGATTTTTTTTTTTTTGTTCTGTCTAGATGGGGCGAGGGGGAATTTTTAAGGCCAGATCCTCTCAGAAAACACAAGACTAAAATTCTTTTAAAAAGTCAGCTGCTTCCATTAAGAATAAGGACTGGAAAGATTGGGAGCAGACTAATACAATAAATAACGAAAGGTAGAATTTGATTTCTTGTTATAAATGGTTATGGAAGAAGGGGCAAGAAGACAGAAGAGCAATTAAGGACAGGAAGAACTGGAATGGATTGGTGAGCCTCCCGGGGTCCCAGGACCTGGGTTGAAATATAACCCATTTAGTTACTCAATTCAAGATCCATTTAGTAACGCTCTTTATCTTTTTCCTGGAGCAGGCCCCACTGAGCTAGGAAAGAGAAGGAAAATGACAGCTGAAGAAGCCCCATGGGCCAAGGATTTCTGGGAAAAGAAAAGAGATAAGCAGACTACATGTGGTAGGGTTCTCTCGGGAACAGAACGGATAGAATGTATATATAAAAGAGAAGATTTTCTAGAGTAACTTACTATGTGCTGGGTGGGTCTGCACAGTCCAGTCCAGTGTGACAATGGCTAGAACCTGGGAGCTGCTCAAGCCAGGTAACTCGGCAGTTCCAAATCTGGTGCCTGGAGCGTCCTGCAGAGCTACTGGTCTCCAGTCCACATGGGATGCTGGAGAAACTGGACCCTGGTGTCAGTGGAGAAGGACGGCAGTCATAGAGACCAGGGCTTTCCCCAGCAGGAAGTGAAGGAAGGCAGGCAAGCAAACAGCACTTTCCCCCTCAGACTTCCTTCTCTTTAGGCGATTACCACCGGCAAGTGCCACCCACTAGGGGAGGGGCTTTTTGGAAGTGTGCTTCTCAGTTGGGTGTAGCCCAAATTCTAATTGGTCTCAATAAATAAAACCTAAAGTCCCATAATGGCAGGTGAAGGCTAGAGATCAGAGAAGCCATGTAGCCAGTCACTAGAGAGACATTTTGCCCCTACCAATGTTAAGATGACATCCTGGGACTGCTCTGAGCTCCTGTCTCCTCCCACCTTATACCCCTCTATTCACCCAGCCATATCACTCCTGTCTCCACCTCTCCAGTGCTGGCATTAAAGACATGGGATCCTAAATGCTGGGACCTCCTTTGTGTGGGCTCTGTTTCTCTTTTAGACTGGATCAATCTCGGGTAGCCCAGGATGACCTTGAACTAACAGAGACCCCTCAGCCACTGTTTCCTGAGTCCAGGGATTAAAGGTGTGTGCCGCCACTCCCTGGCCTCTAGTGGCTTAGCTCTTGCACTCTGATCTGCAGGCGAGCTTTATTTATTAAAACATAAATAAAATATCACTACCGTTAGGTCAATCAAACCATTCCTTTAGCTGTGCATTTTCAGATGAGTACAGGGTCCTAATTCTGCCTAAGATGATAGTTATCTCATGTACCACTGAAAATGTGTCATTCTTTTCTGGGAATAAGTGGCAAGATGCCTTGAGAAATGCACGGTCTTTTAGTATCTTACAGCGTAACTAGGGCAATATAAATTTAATTACATTCAATTACTGATAATATCTCAGTCATTACATTACAGGGTAAAGGAACAGAAAGGGAAAAACCCACAAATGTTTGCTTAATATGTGTGCCTACATATTTAAACATATTCTTAACAAAATTAGGAGAGAAACAGTCATGGCAATAACAATCCCCATTTCTGTAGCAGGCCCCGCCTTCCTTACCTGGGGTTTATAACTGTCTTCCACAACCCATTCCGTAGTCCCTCCACCTTCAGCCAGCACCTCAGCTGCCAGCACCTCAGCCGGTCTTGGCTCTTCACCTGGAGGAGGGATCCATACACTCTTGAAGGGTCTGGGTTGACAGGTTTGACTGATTGGTTCCTGCCTGTGTTGAGTTGTTGTAGTTTCCCATTGACATTAATCCCAAGGCTCCTCTCTTGCATTTGATGCGCTCTTCCTTACCTCCTTGGCAGAGAAACAGCCCCATTTCCCTTTGATCTGGGTCAATTGCCCCTCCTGTTTGTACTGTTCCTTCTTTTCAGCTTGTTGACTGCAGGGCATAGGGAATTCAGAAGTCTTAGCTTCCAGCTCAGTGGGATTTCTCTTGGGCCTCCTGGGCACTCACTCCCTCTTCTGGAACCAAGACTTCTAGGCCAGCAGAACCCAAGCTAGAGGGAATAAGAAGCAAACATTTGGCTGGTAGCTCACTGGGCATGAAGTGTCCTTTCCATTTCCACGTCTCTCTCCTGGACTAGTGAACCCTGAGTGACAGGAGAAACTGTATACTGGGCACTGAATTGAGCATATTTAACCTGCGGGAGAACCTCAGCATTCCAGGCTATACAACTGTGTCTTTTCCAGGGGGAACTGGGGATTAGTTCTTACTAGCCTATACTAATTACATATAATGATGGAAGTCATTATGACATTTTCATACATGTGCATAATGTATTTTGGTCATATTCAGCCCTCTTCTCCTCCCCCGCCTCCCTCCTCTCCACTAATACTCTTTCTTTTCCAAACTAGGCGCTTTCCTACTTCCAGGTTTCAGTTTTTCCTTCTGTGACCCAGTGAATTTCACGAGGGTTTCTTTACAGGATTATGGGCACCTTTCCAGTGACTATACCTGAAGAAAATGTGTCTCCCTAGCAACCACTAGCTGCCGTAAATAAAGTTTCAGGCAAGGGGGGGACTCCTCCTGTCTCTCTCCTTCCCTCGTGTTGAGTGGACAAGCCTAAAGTCACGCATATCTTGTCTATGTCATCCTCACTGTCTTGAGTCCAAGAGTGTTTGTAACTACCGTTGAGTCATATGGTGCCCAGAAGTCATCACTCCACATCCTCTCTGCCTCCCTTCCTCCAGCTCTTAGGCTTTTTTCCACCCTCTTTTCTGTGATAGTCACTGAGTCTTGTATGAGGCTACATCAATGTCTCATTTATTCAAAGTACTTTGATCGGCTGTATTTCTTCAGTCACCACTGACCTCTGAAAATCCACTGACCAAAACTGATAACTACCGTCTTATGGACACAAACAGTTCTTTAATGCTGCTTCTGCTTAGAATGGCAGTTTGATGGGAACATCATGTCTATTGAGCAGCAGGACTTCCCCATTGGGAAATACAGTTTCCCTAACCACAGGCTTTTGAATGTGAATTCCTTCCTGTCGGTTAACAACAAATCCTATCAGATGGCTGTTGGCTCTCCCCTACCGCTATTGGACTGGTCAGTATTGTTGCACACAGTGTCCACAATTAAGACCGTGGATAACAATCTCCCCCCCCCAGCCCCCGCATTCTGTGTAGCACCTTCTGTACTATGAGAGACAGTCAGAAAGGAAGAAATTTTTTAGCCACATTCTAGCTTGATTTTTTATGTGTTGTGCTCAAGGAATGGGGCTTCTTTATCAATCTGGTCTTACTATCTAGTACTGTGAGCAAACAGCAGCCCTGGCATGCTTTGTGCCCCTCCCTCGGGACTCACTGAGAAACAACCCATGGGGAGGTATCGCATCCCTGACACAGGCGTTTGTTAAATAGCTCATGACATCTGGGATCAGCATGTTCTACCTACGTAAGTTACCTCCAAACTATTAAGTTTATTTTTGTTGGCTTATCAAGCATCGTGTTTTCTTGTGATGTTCTTTGTTTCTGGCTGACTCCTTTTCCCATGTCCTGCCACAGCTCCTTATGCCTCTTCACGCCCAGCTTTCCTCTTTCCATTTTCATATCACACACATTCCGCTTCCACTGAAGGTGCCTTTTCCCCCCTTCGCACGGAATCATTTCTAGTTTCCTGGGATTTACATAATTGCTCCCACATAAATGCACACACACACACACACACACACACACACACACACGAAGGGTTCTTCAGAGACCATTTATGTTTTGAATCCGTGTCCAGGGTATGTTACTGATTCTTCTGTTGCCAGGATTCAAAGATCCAGGGAATCAAGATGTGGAAGTGGGAATGGTACGTCTCATGGTTATCCCCAGTGAGCCATCAGCCAGATTTTGTTTCTTGTTCCTGGGAGCTTATGCTCTGCTGGCCTAGAAGTCTTAGCTCCAAAAGGGGGCATGCTTCTCCCAGGAGGAACAGTAGACACCCAGTGAACTGAGAGTTAAGACTCCTCGCTAGCCACTTTGGGTTCTTGATGGTCTTGAGTCAGTGGGCTAAGAAGGTAACAACAGTATTAGGAGGAGCGACTGGCCCAGACTGATAAAGGGTAATTGAATTCCTTCTCCACAGTGGAGGCAAGGAAGATTATGTCTGCAGTGCAGGAGGGCCTTTAGCAGGTCTGTTGTTAAAGTCAGCGGGAAGCTACAACCCAGAAAGACTGCATGATAAATGGCCCAGGTCTTTGAGACCTTAAGGTATAGATCACTCCTCCAGGTAAAAAGCCACAACTGACTGGGTTATGGTTGCAGTGCTTGCTGAGGACGGAGGGACTATGGAATGGATGGCAGAGGGGGGTAGTTACACACACCAGCTGACCACGTGGCCACTTTGAGAAATGATTGGGATTTTCTTTTTTTTTTTTTCTTTTAAACACCGCTTGGCCCATTTCTATCTAGCCTCTTCTAGGCTAGCTCTCGCACCTGGACTAGCCCATTTCTAATAATCTGTTGTAGCCCACGAGCTGGCTTACCAGGAATGATTTTAACCTGTGTCTGTCTGGAGTGGAAGAATCATGGCAACTCCCGACTCAGCTTCTTTCTCCCAGCCTTCTGTTCTGTTTACTCCTCCCACCTATGTTTTAACCTATGAGGACCAAGCAGTTTCTTTATTGCTTAACCAATGAAATCAACAGGTTAATATATGACACTCCCACATCAATTCCCCTTAATGATTGGGATTTTCATGAGTGCTTCTGTCCCATTTAAAAGGGCATGTTTGCGCATCTATACACTTATATTTGTATTTTCTTTCCTCTATTTCTTTCCTGTTTAGATTT